CAAAAGGATGTAACAGCAGAACTTCTGGAAAATGTGCCCTATGGACCTATGGAGAGGGAGAAAACCTTGAAAATGATCAGCAGGTTCTGGAAAACTTAAAAAAAAAAAATCAAAAAGAGATGCAGCCCTGTGACTTTTCAGGCATGACTCTTTGGGTCTGGAGGAAATATTTGCCTTGCATCAGGTACAATGTTGTGGCAATGACCCTATAAGGTCTTTTCTTTCTAACAGTCACAGGATGGCCTCTGGAACTTCAAATATTTGAAGTCTCAAAGGCTGAAAGTAATGAAGTGAGGCCTCTGAGATTGTGCTGCAGGCTGTGATGTTTCAGACCACCCATCTGGGATGTGTTAATGTGGTTTTGTTTGCTTTAACCTGCGTCTTTTGTTGCTTTGTCTCCTGCAACACCAGTATAAGTTGTGGAGGGTGAGGTTGTGTCCATCAGACCTGCAGTGCCCAAAGGATCAGACACGGCATAGAATGACAGAATCATTTTAATTCTTCTCGGGAAAGGTCTCCAAGACCTTTGCATTCAAGCTGTGTCTTATGCCCACCTTGTCACCAGCCCTGAGCTCTGAGTGCCACATCCAAGTTTTCCTTGGACACCTCCAGGGATGGGGACTCCACACTACCCTGGGCTGCTCATTCCAAGGCCTAAGCACCCTTTCCATGGAGAAATTCCTGCTGATGTCCAACCTGAGCTTCCCATGGCCCAGCCTGAGGCCATTTCCTCTCTACCTTTCCCTGTTCCCTGGGAGCAGAGCCCTGCCCCCTCCTCTCAAGGAGTTGTAGAAGTGAGAGAGGTTCCTTTGACCCTCCTTTTCTCCAGGCTGAGCCCTTCCAGCTCCCTCAGCCTCTCCTCATATGACTTAAATGTGTGGCAGAGGGTACTTGCTTAGGACAGTGTGTGAGCAGTTAGAGAAACTGGAATCTCAAAGACTTCTCCCTCCCAGGAGGTCAAGGGCTGGAGAATATTCAGCATCCCACAGGCAGTGCCTGCATGCGCTGTATGATTTTCTGCCAGTATCTCAAAGGACACAAAGATGACTTAGGAAGAGAATTGAGGCTGAGACTGTTGTGTCTGTGAATTATGAATCAGGTCTCAAATCCTCTGGTGGTCTGAGCAAAATTTAGAAGCCTTTCTCCTACCTCTAGCAGCTCATGTCAATGTACATCTTCTGCAGCTATGGTGAAGTTACTCAGAGAATCATAAAACACTTTAAGTTGAAAGGGATCTGAAGGCCCATCTCATTCTGATTCCCCCTGACATGACCAGAGAAACCTTCTACTCTCCCAGATTGCTCCACACCCCATCCAACCTGCCCTGGAACACTTCCCAGGATGGAGCAGCCACAGCTTCTCTGGGCAGCCTGTGCCAGGGCCTCACCCCCTCACAGGGACAATTTTCTTCCCAATATCCTGTCTAATCCTGCGCTCTAGCAATGGAAAGCCATCCCCCCCGAGTTCTGTAGTGCCATGCCCGTGGTGAAGTACTACTCATGGACCTTTTGGTTTTGCTAATGGCACACCACAAAAAGCTATGGAAAAACAGAGGAATGTGCTGCTGTGAATTTATTTGGTTTTTCTTTTATCAGAAGGAGCACCATTAACTTTCATCTGTCATCTGAATGTCCAGGAAACAAGAGATTGGGAATAGCTCCTCAGTACTTGGGATGCTGTTTAGACTGTTTTCAGCATACAGGCATGGGATGATGCTGGATGATTTACACTTTAAAGGAAAATACATCTTGTAATTACCAAAATTTCACTCACAAAGAGAAATTGCTGTTCTAGTTGTCTGGGAACAGAACTGACTTGATTGCTGGGAGTGAAAGGAGTCTGAAAATAGTCATCTAAGAGAGGCGCTTTAATTTCCTCATTTCTTAACTAACGCCTGTTTGGTGTGTAGAATAAATCGGATACAACTCCCTCCCTCTGCCCCAAGCTGCCTTGTCATCTAGAAATTGCTGGTGGTAGAGTCCAAGTTTAGTCCTGAAACTGCCAATTCTCCATCTCACCTTCCATCATTTCTTTGTGTGCCATGGCACCACTCTCCACCTGGTGCTTCTTAGCAGAGTCCTTTTCAGCCAGTGCTGGAAGCTGAGCATGAAGAGAATGTGGAGAAAATCTCAGACCTCCCCAGAAACCCAGAACCTGAGTCTGAAAATGTAAAATTGGTTCCACTGCTTAAATATACTGAAATCAGAGATTCAGGGAGCTGGAATAGCAAACATCTCTGTTGTCCAGATGCTGTAAAGCCAGGGGTCTGCAGAGGAACTCTGATTTCATTAAACAATTTCCAAGTTCCACTCAGAGTTACTACAATCCTGCTGGCAGCATTTCTAAAGATCTGCTCTAAGAGGACAATCTTTAAACTCTGCAGTTGGCTCAATATTTAAAGTTACTCTTGCACTGGCTACAACACTGTGCCTCAATGGTTGGGAAGGAATTTTATATATTCAGCTTCTAGTGGAGTATTAACTGGTCCCAGCATACAAAAGGCAAATGGTTGCCTTTTTAGGGATGAAGTTGAAAGCTAAATGCTATCCAGACTACTGCAGCAAGGTGAAGAACAACAAGGATCTTGGGACTCTGAATGCCAAGGCCTTTCTGTTTGAATGGTTTGAGTGGTCTCATTCCACTGGGCAGACTCACCTTCCTCAGATTATGAAACAATAGTGCACAAAGGAGTGCAAACATCCATCCCAGAACTAAGATGGGAGACAGAACAAATAATGCTACTACCACCCAGACACTTCTTTGGCAAGGAATGTGGGGAGAAAGGAAAACACTGTTCTCCCTCATCTGTTACAATCTCAGCACACACTTATTTTTGACAAAAGGTGCATTGAGTCTGGAGCTCTCTGTCTCTAATTCCCAACCTTTCATAAGAAAAGAATTTGAAATATTGCTTTAAATGAGAAAGATGAGTTTTAAAAATCAAAACACATTTCTTTGATTAACATTCAGGAATCAAAATACTTTAATCAACTCTATGGCCCATCTTCAATTGCAAAACAAAACCACTCCTTCTTCCAAATGACATTTTAGCCACAGAAAACATTGCAAGACAGAAAAATAATATAAAAATATTAGAACATTGGATCAGCTCAAATGCAGACACTGGTGAATGAAAATTATTACCATTTATCAACATTTTTGTATCCTTTATAACAGTATGTACTTAATTCAACATTGCCACTGACTGATTGTAGAGAAACCACAGCAGAAGTGGGTCAAAGAGATTACCTGAAGGCTTTCCCTTGATCTGAGGCAGCCTGGTCTTGGCTCTGGCAGCAGGAAAGCTGGGCACAGCACATAAGGCTGTTCTTGAGAGTCTCCAGATCACTTTAAATCCTTTGCATTGTGGTGCTCTGACATGGTCACAGCCACAGCAGAACTTTCCTGGCTACAGGTGAGGGTGTCCAATGTTGGACAATTCCCTTTTCTGACCCAGAGATGGGGTAACTGAGAGGTGTTTTAAAAACTTTTATTCCATTTTCAGTCACATGAGAAGGATGAGACAATACAGATGTTACAATTCACCCCATCACAATCAGAAGCTATTTTTTAATTACAATACACTATAAGCATTTCTTGGCCTATCAGCTTTAGCCACACCATGCTGTAAATGCGTTAAAGCAAATCATCTAAAATTACCCCTCTTGGGTCCCACTACAATCCATCTTTCATAGTTCTATTTCTCCAAAGTATGCAGTCTTATCTGTGAGGCCATCCTTTGAAATTTTTTTCTAGCTCCATTTCTCTCTCAACAATATCTGACTTATTCCGTGGCATTTCGAAGTCAGCATTTCTTATCTCAAAGTTTGCATACGGTTGCACACTGTGTGAGCTTTCTGTCAGGCCCTGAGAACTTTCTACAAATCCATTTCCCGCAGTCCAAGAGCTAGGAGAGAACATCTTCAGCTGCACAGAATAAGGAGAATGGATGTAGAGAGAGGCTCCAGCTTTTCGCTGGGAAAAGTTTCAATCAGTGTATTTGACCCCATTCCCAATGCTGAAATCCAAGCTGGCTGGTAAAAAGTGCCCAGCCCTTTTCCTTTTTGCTTACAAGCAGGAGGAACTTTATGCTTTCTCTTATCAAATCTGAGCCTCCTGCAAGTACTTCTGTTTGGGAAGTTCTTGAAATAAACTTGTGCCACAGAATTCAAGAACTGCAATTTGAAGGTTAATGGAGGAATTTCACTCATATGGAAGAATATTCTCATATTTTCACTATTTTCACTAATTTATAAATATATTTTTAAATGTATGTGTTTTTTAAAAATTATTTATATTTTAAAATTTGGAATTTATATTTTAAATTTTTTTAATTTAAAATTTATTTAAATCTATATTTCTATTTTGATAATTTAATAAAAATATTTCATATTTTCATTCATTTTCACTACTTTTCACTTCAGAATGGACATGGTTACACCCACCTCTGCCTTGTGAACAGGCAGCAACAGATGAGTTTGCTTGAAGGCAGCAGTTTCCAACATAATTTTACAAAAATCCCATTAACTTTTGGGCTGAAACTTTATGTCCCAGTGATCTGCCATGTGCCTGATGTCTAGGAGGCTACTCATGGGTGCTTTGGTCTGCAGGGTGATGGTGGCAGTTCCTCACGGGTGAATTCCCCTCGGGTGCTGGGGAATCCTCAGGGAATGCCAGCTTGGAAGTGGTTCCAGGAGCTGCCAAAACATGAAGGTCCAGTGCTAAGAACGGAATTGACTCACCTCAGGGAAAACTAATGGCTAAAAGAGAACAAAATCACTAGATTCCAGTAGCCTTTGGCTACAAACATATCAGGAAGTCAGTGCTCCCCAGAGGGGAATTCAGTCCTGGGAAAAAGGCACAGAAGCCAATCAATTATCGGAGAATTGCTGCTAAATGGAGACAAGCTGACAACAAATATTTACTCTCGGATCAATTAGTTTAAAGTGCAATGTTTGGAGCAGAGTTTGGACGTGGGGAGGTCAGGCCCACCCACAGGTTGCTCCAAGTACATACTGTTATAAAGGTTGCATTTATATAAAGACAGAGGGACATGCACTGGGAATCCCTGCTTGGAAAGGAAAAAGACTGGAGGATTTTGGAAGACACACTATGAGAATCCTAATTTTTCTCCTCACACTGAGCGTTTTCTTATGTTCAGGTAAGTTGGGAGCCTTGACTTCCTTTTTAGGATAGTTTTGGGGGTGAAAAGTACAATCCTGCAATGGACTTCTGATAGAACTGTGCCTCCCTCTCAGGGTTTCCAGCACATGAGTACGACCTCCCTGTCACAGAAGAGGCTCTCAATGCTTCCCTTGCATGGATCAATTCCCAGTCATGGAGCAGAAACCTGTATGGTGTTGTCAGGAGCCGAGTCATGGGAGTATGTACAAAGACAACGGAGATCCTTTACCTGAAATATGCTTTCCTGGGATGGAAAACTCTTTTCCACCCAGTCCTAGAAACCCAGGTTTAGTTGGAGTTGGCTGATGCTGCTTGAAAGAGGGTGGGTTTGGGCCATTATCTGAAGTTACAATTTCAAGAACCTAAATATCTTTTGTATGTAAGTTTGAAAATAAAATACTTTAGGCATTCAGATTTTTCATACCTAGCTTAGAAGTTTTTGAGGATTGTCTTGTAGTATTTTGTTCAAAAGTGATGTTTTTAAATACCTCAAGCAAACTGCTTTGCTTTTGGCATCAAGCAGCCTGGTTCATCTGAAGCTCCTTGCTTATCTAATGCCTCCACAATTCAGGATTCTTTCTCTGATCTTTATTTATGTCATCTGTCTCTATGCACCAATTCTGGTTTAAATCTGCTAGAGTCCAGGTGCAAGCAAGAAACCCCTATCTGTTTTAATTTGTGGTGCTCAGAATTATATTGGATACTCCCCAAGTTAAGGAGTTAAAACTTCTTAATTAAAAGTTATAAAGTTCATGCTCCTGAGCACCCTCAGAACCTTTCTGTTTCTATAGGTGGCGTGTATCAAGTATGACATATGGATTTATATAATTTGGATTAAAACCTCGAGTATTTGAAAGTAGTGGGAATTTATTTTTTGTTGGGTTTTTTTTTGGGGCATTGCTTTAAAAATTTTTTTTAAGTCTCACATCTTGAGCTAAAGCATTGATTGGACTATGAGAAAGGGAAAAGAATAATCAAAATGGACTAATGCTGTGTTGTGTTGACCCTCCTTTCACCAGGTGGACATGTGGGACAGTGATACTTATGGGTTAGATCTGCACTTCAGCATCTGCGAGACCGTGTGCACCAAAGCTTCGGGGAGAGATCCCTTTACCTGTGACTTCAAAACTGGCCCTTTTGTGGTAGGTGCCCCTGGTGGGAATGGGAATCCTCCCCTCCATGCAGGATCTTCTCAGGAAGGGTCATAGTGCTGCTGGCACTGAGAAGTGAGGAATGGCTGCCTGGTTTTGATACAACCTGCAGCATGGAGTGGGTGTTGGGTGGGAAGGGTCAGTGGTGGGAAACTCTTCTGCCTGATCAGTGGGTATGGCAGGGAGCTGAAAAGAGGATTAGTGTCTGGGAGCAGTGTGTAGTGAAGGTATGTGTGCTTTTGGGGCCAAATCCTGGAAGGAATGGCTTGTTTTCTAAGATAAGAGGGTAGAAAAGCTGGTATTTCACTTGCTTTTACCTATCTGGGCGCCACATGAAATGTTACCTTCCCATGTTGTGCGGATTCTTCCTCTGTGCTGACAGTGCTGATCTCTTTTGGATTTTTCACTTTCAGCCTGAAATAAAAAGCCTCTTGATACAGCTCTTACTCTCCTCTGAGTCTTAAATCACCAACTTTGGTGGAAATACATTGTCTTTGAGTCTGTGCACAGACTTGGGACTTCTCTGTGCACAGTTACTCAGGCCAAGACACCTGTGCTCTGGGGCTAAGCAGCTCATGCATGTGTGTAGATGGCAGCACACAGAATTGTTGGTTATTGCTTTGCTATTTTTCTTTAGAAACACAAAATTTGGCTGCTATAGTGTTATCCCTGTATCCTAAACTGACGCCATCCCCCTCTTCTTCCTAGGGCAATATGGTAGTGAGAGGATGTGTTTTCCAAACTTTAGTGCAGGTTTTGCTGCAGTTTTTTGTCCAATTGCAGAGACCGACTTTAAGGGTAGTTTAACTTCCAGAGCTGGAGCTGCTGTTGGCATAGCCCTGCACTGTCCTTTGTGCTGAGCTGTGAAAAGGATGTGGAGGTTTTCTCCTACCCTGAGCAGGCTCAGAGGTTTGTACAACAAACACATGGCTGGGGAGAAATAACATGCCATTGCATAATTGTTTTCAGTTTTTTTTCTCTTGGAATTTGTTTTTTAAATCCTTCTGCAGGTTTCCACCACCACTGAGGGTTTGTATTGGATGTTTGCTCTGTGAGATTTGCTCTATTTTGTTCTGTTACAGCCCACTGCTTCCTGCAGGAGTGTTGTGGAAGTCTCTGGAGGGCTGATTGCCAACATCACTGTGCGGTGCCATCGCAGCATATTCAGCTCTGAATCCATGAGCAGTGAGGAGGTAAGGAAGTGGGGGAAAACCCATTTTTGCTGCCCGGAGGAGTGAAATTCTGCTTACCCTCTTTTAAAGAGAAGTCAGGTATTTGTGTTTGCTCCTGTTGCAGGAGGAGGTTTGGATCAGGAAAGTGGATGTAGTTTGAAATCCATCTGTCAGCTGTAACTTTTCCCTTTCCATCAGCTGAGGGCTCTGGCCTTGCCTGGGAAAGTGTGACTCTCTGGCAGTCAGGCTGATCTATTAACTCCAGCACTTCCTTCATTGAGTATGGGCCTGGAGAACAGTGGCTGGCACTTCTTGGACACACAGAGATCCCTATGGCTTTGGGTCTCTTACCAAACCCACCTCCCAGCTGAGCATATCATTACAGCACAGCCCAAGGACATCTGGTCTGCTGAGACGTTTTTCCCTTTTTGGGCTCTTTTTTGGTTTTAAGGGTGTTATTCAATGCTGCCCTAACCTGGGGATTCCTACTGACTGTTTCCAAACTGTGTCAGTGTCTACTTTATCCATTAAGTGACTCTTGAACTTATGTATCTGCACTTAGAATACAGCTCTACAGTGCTTGAGGGAACACAATTTAACAACCTTTTATTTTTGGAAAATTCAGAGATCTAAATGAAGAATTTGAATTGTAGAATCTCAGAATGGTTTGGGTTGGAAGGGACCTTAAAGTCCATCCAGTTCCACCCGCTATGGTGGGCAGGGACACCTTCCACTGGCCCAGGGTGCTCCTAGCCCCATCCAGCCTGGCCTGGAACACTTCCAGGGATCCAGGGGCAGCCACAGCTTCTCTGGGCACCCTGTGCCAGGGCCTGCCCACCCTCACAGGGATGGATTTCTCCCCAATATCCCATCTCACCCTTCTCTCCTTTAGCTCAAGGCCAGTCTGCCTTGTCCAGTCATGACAAGCCCCTGTGAAAAGTCCCTCTCCAGCCGCCTTGTAAGCAAATAGGGTTCATTGTTACTTTTCCTTGGCTGGAATTGCCAAGTTAGCTCTTCTTTTATTTTTTTTTTTTTTTCCTCAAAATCTCCATTCAGAGCTGGCTAGTGAGTGCACCACAGGAAGCCTGGCTCTGCAGAGCAGAAAGACTGCATGTGGAGCACTGCAATGTGTAACAGTTTGGGATGTTCAGTCAGTCCTCTGTGGGTTGACATAACCATTGTTTAACAGGGCACTTAGCACTTGCTTTTACAAGCAGACATCTTCCCCCAGGTCTTCTTTAACCATCACTTAAAATTCAGTGCTGTTGCCATAGTCCTGCTGGGGAATATATTTCCTGCAATGTTAATAAGGAATAAATGCCAAAGGGAATTACTGCACTTGAAAAGTAAAGTTTTTCTGTCTGCAGAGGGCTGCAGTAAGTGCACTGTAGCTCTTGCTGTGGAGCTGTAATTCTCCTGAGGGGATCTCAGTTTGGCTGAGGTGGTGTTGGTGTGCCTGTGGTGGTATTTGGATGGGAGAGGGAATTGTGATTGACTGAGGCTGGCATCAAAGAATATCCTGAGTTTGATGGGATCATAGAGTCCAACCTCTGGATTGCAGGAGCACCAGCAATAATCTTGTTATCAGCAAAATTAAGAATGAGGTTTGGAATTACTTTAGTGACCACCTCGTGCCTGAGGGAATGGAGAGGTGGGACTTCTTGTCAGGTGAGGCTTTTAAAGAAATTCTTTTAATTTCCAGATGATGCACGTGCCCATAACGACCCCTGACAGGCGAGGCAGCGCTCGCAGGGAAGGTAAGCCAGCTCTGACATGCTAGAATACCCTGACCTGTATTTTCCTCTAGGAACATCTCCAGGTCATCTGTCTGAGGGAAAAGACAATGTGAAAGATCAGCTGTTTGCTCCTGGTCATGGGCAACTGGTTTTTCCCCTGAAGAGGGGTGTCTAGTTTAGGGTGCAAGGAGGGCACTGTCCTGCCAAGCCAGGCCATGCTGACGTTTATGCATTTTTTGGATTGCCAGATTTGTGCTCTCATAACCAGTGTGTAGAATGCAGTGCTGAATATTTTCTAGTATAGAATCACAGAGTGGTTTGGGTTGGAAGAGATCTGAAAGATCATCTCGTTCCACCCCCTGCTGTGGGCAGGGACACCTTCCACTATCCCAGGTTGCTCCAAGCCCTGTCCAACCTGGCCCTGGACACTTGCAAGGATGGGTCAGCCACGGCTTCTCTGGGCAACAATCAACACAAGTCTGAAAGCATCTCATGCTTCCAGATGTCTCCATGTTCTTTTTTTAGATGATGCCTTTGCTCCTGAAGCCTTCCCTTCAAGGGGAAGAGACAGCAGCCGTGGAGATTGGAACAAACCCAGCTACTTCAGCCCTGACAAGATGGAATAACCTTGGTTGGGTGAGTGTGGGTTAGGGTTATGGCTGGGAGAGCCAAAGAACCTACAGTTCCAGGAACAATGGGGCTGCAAAAGGCCATCCCAACTTTGCTGTTCCTCCATCTTTCTGATCTGCACCACCAATGGTGATGGGGCTCAGGTTAGGGTATACTTAGGGCTAGGCTTAGGGTTAGGATTAGCTTTTTTACACCCTGGGTCTGCAGGTTTTGTGGCAAAGTGGGGAAGTGACTCCTCAGGATAAAGGACTTTTAGCTCTTTGCAAGACATCCCAGCTCCAGAGCTCATGGCTGTCCCTCACTTTTCAGTTGTCCATCCTGTATCCTCCAACATACACCAGTGTCCTGGGGTACAGGTAGTGTGCAAAACATGCAGGAAAATCCTTCTGTAAACTCAGAGTTTGAGTTTAGTGTAGGCTTCTAGCCTTTTTACCCCCATTTTCCTCGTGACAAGGACAGTGAGGGGCTGGAGCATATCCAGAGATGGGATATGGAGGAATGGCTGTATCTTTGTGACAAATCAAGTGCCCCAGGGCCACACAGCTCCTCAAACAAAAGCTGAAGGGATCTGGGAGAACCGCGGTGGGGAGAAGCACTTGTCTTGGAGAATTTGTGAAGGAGGCGTTTGGAAGCCAATTAATGGGAATGCTAATGAAAGGCACCCGTGATTGATTTGAGCTGGCAGAGCCTATCCCGCCCAAAGCACCTTTGCTGACCTGCCTCTGTGTGGGAGCAGCTCTAATTGCTGCTGATGCTTTACCTGCCGTCTAAAGGGAAGTGGTTTGAAAGTTTTAGCAACACGGAATGAGCTCATTCTTTGGCATGCTAAACAGGTTTAAAGTAGTTGGGAAGAGGAAATTACTTAGTGCTCTGTCTTTGTGATTAAAAAGGCTCCCAGCTCTCGGGTATATATCATTAGCAGGTCTCTGTCCCTGTGGAGTGCCAGAACTGAGTGCTCCCTGTGTGTGGAGCTCAGCTCCAGCCTGCTGGGTTGGAAGCGAGACAGTTTTAGATGGAATTTAGCACCGGTGACTCACCAAAAGCTAACACATGTTACTCATAAGCATAGCCGTGGTAAACCTCGATGTGCTGAAGGAGACAAGCCTCCTGCTCTCCTGGAAACGAGATATCAAAGGAAAACCCAGGCACTCTGCTGTGTTTGTAAGAATTATTTCATTAAACCCATATGCTATTTTAGTTTATCCCTGAGCCACCAAAACCATTAGGCCTTTTTAATAACTGCCTGCCTTCTTACAGGAATTTCTAACTTCTCTTTGCCTTTGGGAAGTGCTAGGTATCTTTAATTCTCTCGCTCTCGAAAAGAGCTATCCCCTTTAAGCAGCACTCAGAAATGCATTGTGTTCTTCTGTCTAACTTCTGACCTCTAAAATCTCCAAACCAAAAGCAAAATGTAAAATATTCCTGAAAATAGAATGTGAAGCAAGTGGGAAGAAATTTATGTTCTTGAAACACCCAGCAGTTTGAAATGTAATTCTTTCTGCCTGCTCTTGAGGATGGATTACAAGTGTCATTTATGGAGCTTTTTCCCCCGATGAATGTCCTGGGTTTTGGACATGTAAGAGGCAGATACATCAGGAGATTTAAAGAGCATATCAACTCTACCCCCAAAGCCCCTTGTTTCTCTTGCTTTTATCAATTTGACTTATTCATTGCAAAGTCTGGAGAGGAATCTTCCCGATTTTGCTGGTATCCAGAATTATAGGATTTCATTTGAAGCCAAAAATTAAACAGATTTTATGTCTCTGAGGCCAGGAAAAGTTATTCCCTGCTGTTTTTCCTGGATTTTGGCATATGTGTTATCCTGGCTGGCATTATTACAAGCCATGCAGGGTTTGGTGGGGGCATGGGAAATGAGTGCTGAGTTTTGAAATGGCAGTAGGCTCGACTGGCTTAGCTTAGCTGAGATTTTGGGGGAGGCTGGGGAAATAGCAATTTAATAATAGAAGACTTTCATCTGTTACTGAAAGAACCTGGTGCTGACAGACAAAGCTGGACAAGTCCAGGTAAGAAATTAAATACGATTTTTTTTTCTTTTACACACCAGAATGGGTAACTGACTGCTGCAAAAATTGCTCAGGCAAGTGGCTGACAGTTTTTAATGCTGGATTTTACATTTCTGAGCTAGGCCTTCTTATCTTTTTGGCTTCAGGAATTATTTCAGGAGAAGTCTGTGCTTGACTTTGTGCAAGAAGCTAGTCTAAATGAACTCACTGGTGCTTTGTAGCTCTTTTTATTTATTAGAATGTGTTAGATATTCAGGAGGGGGAAAAAAGAAATCAGTGCCATTGTTATATAAAGAACATTTTCAAGTCTGCAGTCTTCAGACCCACCAGTCTGCTGGTGCCTGCAGGAATTAGAAACTGAATATGAAAAGCCCCATCAATGATTAATGAGCTTACTTCAGTGACAAGTCTTAATCAGATTTTCTGGATTTATTTCCTCGTCCATCTCCAGAACTGAGGAGATTGTGAAATTCCCGTGGCATGCTCTGGCGCCAGTCTTTCCCATAAATAGCTCAGGCACACCGGGAGTGACAGGAAGGGGGAAAAAGCTGCTGTACAAGAGCTGATCACCTGTTAACATCCTGTGCCTGAAACGGGCTGGAATCTGCTTAATGGCGCTCTGAATTGCAAAGAGAAGCCTAAAAATGGCTCAAACTTGCCGACCACCTTAATCTCCAGGGAGCAAAAGGGCCTTGATGCTTTGCTGTTCCAAAATCACCTGCCTAAGGCAGTTTTTTCTTGTGGAGACCCTTGAATTATATCTGGAGTCTCCCCAGATATGCTTCATGCCCTTGAACAGGAAAATCAAGAAGCGAGTTCCTGCCTTTGCAAAATACAAGTAGATGGTGAATGCTGAGTGCGTCTTACTCATTAACCACGAGGAAAGTGGTATTTTAACAGGAAATCAACTTCCTTCAGCATCAAGCCAAGGGGCTGTGATTTTGTCCTCGAGTTTTCTGTATTTTCCTTACAATTGCTCTCTGACTGAGGACTCTGTCACCTGACACAGCTCACTGCTGGCAGGAAGAGGGTGGTGGCAGTGAGGAGCTGATTAGCAGCAGCACTGGGATAGACTGGCATCCTTAAATATTAGGGTGGGGCTTTTTTCAATGGAAGAGTAACAGGCAGCATTGGGCCTCTTCTCATGCCTAAGAAATCCAGGATCTGACCTTCAGAGTGAAATGGATGCTTGTTTATCTGTCTCCTATGAATAGAATATCAGAGCAGGGTTCACAGCTCTCCTGGGGTATGGAAAACTGAGCTTTAATCCCCAGTGCCCTCATTAAGGAGCTGCTTGGTTTTAGTTGCGGTTTTATATCCTCATGTCTTTGTTTTTCCCTCTCCCATTCACCCACCACTTTCTATGGGTTCTCATAGAGCAGCTTATTGCTTTCTGTGGAAAAAAAAAAAAAAAAGGAAAAAAAAAAAAAAGAAAAGTGAAGCACCAGAGGGGAAGGAAAATCCCTGCAGGGTGGGATCTGTTGCAGGGTGCATGAGCTCCGTGTCAGATGAGCTTTGGGAGCCAGAGCTGGAGCAGTTTGGTGCTTTGGGAAATGTCAGGCTGCTCTTTTATTGCTCCTGCCACGGAGCCTGGCTGTGATGAGTCCTCGGTGTCACCTGGCAGCTGTGACACGCTGTGGCCGGGGACAGCATGCTTTCATCAGTTCAGAGGCAAAGGACTCGGAGGGAAACAGAGCCAGGCAGGACCTTTGCTGCTGCTGGGGTCAGAGTGTGGCAGGGCTGGGGCAGCGGTGTTAGAGTGGAGAGGAGAATCGCTGTGGCATCCTCCTGGTGCTGTGAGCAGCAGCAATTTTTGTCTTGCCCTTTGTTCCCCCTCTTCTCCATCTGTTTTGAAGGATTAGACCCACAGCTGCATGGAGGAATTTGTTCCTGCTTAGGGAGGACATGGAGCTTGGATGATCCCTTACACTTCACAAGCCCCTTCATCTAATTCCATGAGAACACCAACAGGACTTCCTTCCCTGGAAGAACAGAAAGGGCTCTCGGCTGCCTGTTGCTCAGTGCTGGGTTTTAGAAATGAGCTCATCAAAGAATCATGCAGTTGGGAAGCAGGGCTCAAAAAGCAGGGCTGTGTAGCTGAGGTTGGAATACCATGGGATAGAGATCCCTCATCCTCTTTGAGCTCCAGACAGGAACCCTCTTGCGGGAAGACTTTGTCCTTAAACTGAGCTGGAATTTCCTGTGTTCCCTCTGGTTCCTGTTTCTGCTGTTGTCCCTTGGTCCCCAGTGATGATTGCAGTGGCTGGCCCTGGCATCCCCCATCTCCAGGGCTGGAGGCCTGGGCCTGGCTCCAGGCAGGATTCAGGGGCTCCTGGACAAGCTGTTCTTAGAGAGTCACTGTATTTAATGCCTTCCACACGTGCGGACTCTCCTTTCTTGCCTGAATCTATCTCTGAAATTTTACTAACAAAATTGTCTGACAGAAAAATTTCAAGTTGCCATGGTGACCAACTTGCTGAAGACACAGTGTGGACTACAGGGTGCTGGGGAAGCTGTCACATGTTCCCTTGGAAAAGCACATCTCCCATTTCTTCTGAATATTGTGCTCTCGATTCAGATCCATTTCAGAGCAGACCACACATCAGCTTCTAGCCTCAAACAGCTCTGATTTTGGGACTTGACAATACGTGTTGATTTGTGTCCTGTGCATTTCATTTCACTGTTGTTAATTTTTGTTACAGTCTGTTTCTTTTTATTCCTTTTTTTTTTTTCACCCTAATTAGCCATTGCCACGACATTTGTGCACATACGAAATGTTTTGCATATGCAGGGTTTTTTTTGCAGATTCCACAGGGTGGGAAGGAAATTAATAAGTAACTTGCTGAAGCTGAATACACTTTTGCCAAGGATGTTTGGTTGGTTCTGAGACTAATTCTCAGACATTTCTCCTTGCTCCCTGTTTTCAAAGCAGATTGGAGAGTGAGAAGAGTCAAGATTCAAAGATCCAGCATGGGAAGAAAGAACCTGATGACTTGGCCTTTCCTTTTTGGTGAAAAAACTTTTCTTCTGTGTAGTGAGAGTCTTTCCCCAAGCTGACTTTCTGCTCTGACAGCAACTGGAGGAGCTCATGAGATGCTAAATACACTCTGATCCATCGATAGCCCTGCTGATGTGTTAGGTCTCCCTGCGAGAACTCCGATTTAACTGTGTCCAGGACCTTTCCACCATCCCATAATGATGCTATTAAAACCTCATTATTCCATTTGTTTGTTCTGTGTTTCTCTCTGCTTGCTTGTAATTTTATGTGATGCTCCCGGCTAATTATTGATTATTCAAACGAATACACCCACACTGAATTCCTTTCTCTCCGGGCTGCAGCATCTGCGGACAGAGAAACCTCACTCCAAATCCAGAGGCTGGAGTTGTAGCCCACCAGGAATTCGGCTTTAATGGGTACTTGGTCACTAATGTGGAGAGCTGAGGGCTGCTAATGACGATGATTGTCAGGTACTAATGGCTTTCGGAAGAAGGCCAGGTTAGAGCAGACCTCTGATGTGTTCCTCACCTGGGAAAGGTCTCAGCAGTCTTGTCCCCTTCTCTCCACTCCCTGCACAGATCCCACCCTTCAGCTCTTCGGGAAATGGAAGGTTGCTGTGCAGCTTGGGTGTTCTTATTGGTTTTGGGGGTTATTTTGTTTGTTCGTTTGTTTTTTAAGGATTTATCAGTCACAATAGACTTACTTTTCTCTCTAAAGCCATTGTCCCACCCAGTTTTACTCTCACCCATTTTTCCCTCCTGATTGCAGCAAGGTAAGCTGATTTGTAGGAATTTCCACCTCAAAAGCTTGAGAATATGTAGTCAGAGCCCTCGATGACCACCACCAGGGAGCAGGGAGCAGAGGGTGCTGATAAGGTGCAGAGGTCTAACAGAGGAAGTGATGTTTTTCTTTTCCACAGTTCTTTTGCTTTGCTTGGATGAACAGGATGGGAACCTTCAAGGCCGGGCTGGATGGGGCTTGGAGCAGCCTGGGACAGTGGGAGGTGTCCGTGACCACGGCAGGGGGATGGGATGAGATGAGCTTTAAAGTCCCTTCCAACCCAAATCAGCCTGAGATTCCATGATTCCTTTGCTCTGAATGCACAGTGCCAGAGTCCTCCATGATTTGTCTCTCTTCCAAATTTTTGCTGAGCATCTTTTTTCCTAATAGGGCTGATTCCACCCGTCTGTGCTTATTTTAGGTAGAACTATTACTCTTCATTGGGCAGGAACAGCCTAGGTGCTTTCTGAAATGCCTGAGCTCAAGAGATTGTGGCTTAGGTCTTTTTATACTGTCTTTCTGGCCCAGGTGAGCAGAAGACCTTCCTGGCCTGTTTCTCCAAGACCTGGCTTTGTTTCCTGGAAGGGATGAGGTGGATGGACCCAGGAAACAGCTTCAGCTGGGCTTCTACACTTCCCTGTTTAACTCTTGCTTTTCTCAGTTCCCCAACAGGCAGTTCTCAGGACCAGGAGTTGGACTCAACAGTCCTTGTGGGCCCCTCCGACTCAGGATATTCTTTGACTTTATATTTTGCTAATATGTGATAATTAAATGTGCACTTCTCTACACACACACACACACACACACACACACACACACGCTCAAAAAAAAAAATCCCCAACTTTTTTTTTTTTTTTTTTTTTTTTTTTCCCACCAGCCAAAATGATTGCAGTGTACTTTAAACTCCTGGCTGCACGCATGCAAATGCCTTCACACCTAGGAGCAGCTGATGTGGCATCTGCTGTGCAGATGTTTATGTGGCAGCAGGGAGCAATATTTCCTTTGTCCACATTACTTTCCTGAGCCTTTCCTGGTCCCAAATTGCTGACTCAAGCACTCGGTGCTCCAACGTACCAATGACCCTTGCTAGGGATGCTCCCTTCCAACTCCCCTGGCTGAGAGTTTGGTCTGTGTAAGCAGACCATGAGTTTTGTTGTTGGATTTTGCTTGGGGAGTGGAGATTTATGCAGCAGCAGGGACAGGGAGGGAGCTTTCCCCGAACCCTTAGAGGCACTACTTGCCCTGGAAGGAATGTGCAGAGTAGAAATTCTCTCTTCCTGCAGACTTTGAGGCTATTCAGAAACTCTGAGGCAGCAAAAAAGGGAAGGGAGACAGCAAAACCATGCTGGGCCTTGCTGCATACAGGGACTTTGTGGCTGTTTGAGCTTTGCTGCCTTACCAGAAAGTGAAATGTTGTCACCCTTCTGATGCAAAGCAGTTTTAGGATGAGGAAAGAAGTGAGAGTTTTGATTTGTGTAGTGATTTGGGGAATGAACAGAAGCAACTGCAGCTGCCCACACAGAACAGGACACCCGGCCCCTGCCCAGACTTCCAGCACTGCAGTCTGTCCCCAGGGAAGGGTGGAAACTGCTGACTTTCTGCTCTCTGAGAAAAGCAGTAAAACCTGAATCCATGGCAGAATCACTCCTTTCATATTCATTTTCTCTGTTTGGTTTTTATACAGCCTGACACTTTTATGCTGACAGTGTCTGGGCAGGAATTCCCATGGTGTGGGATGGATGAAGGACAACACCACGCAGTGATACTGCAGAAAAACTGGGCTCAGTTCCTTTCTCTCCCTTCAGTCAGCACTTGTGGAATTTGGGCTCCAGGGTGCCACAGCATCTCATTTGCCAGACCCTCTTTTTGGCATCATGTCACAGATGCTCCGTGATGGATCCCCCACCCCTGTCAGTGTTTCAAGGCCAGGTCAGACAGTGCTTGGAGTAACCTGGTCTAATGGAAGGTGCCCTGAGATGGTCTTCAAGGTCCCTTCTAGGCCAGTCTGTGATTCTGGGATCACTGCCAGGCACCAGTGTGATTTGTGCCACCATGAGACTGGCACTGGTGTGTTGGCAGCCCTACATCAAATCCTGCTCATATGGGCTAGCTGGAAATGGGTAGAGCTATGAGCAATAAAGAGGGGCCCAGTCCTACATGGAGCTAGCCTGAAAAAGTTCCCAAAGAGCAGAGATGATCATCTGGATGGAGCTTAGCCCATGTTAGAGAGAAGACTGTTGCTCACCCTGGAGGAATGTGGAGATTTCCGGGCACACGCTCGGCTTCTCAGCAGCCTCAGCTCAGGCTGCTTGTCCAGCCTGACCCCTGGATGATCCCTCTGGAATGAAGAAAAGGCATTAATTGCCAAACCTGTGTCCTGATTCAGAGTTGTTGAGGAACTGCTGGGAGCAGGACCTGAGCATTTTCCCATGGGCTCTGCCGTGGAGCAAGGTTGGAGCAGGTCTGCAAGTGCGAGTTCAGCACAGACACTTGGGAGGGTCCTCAGGAGCCACAGCTGTGCTGAGGGTGATGAACATCCTCTGTGGCACAGAGAATCAGTGGCTGATTCCAGGGCTGTCAGTGAGCCTGCCTGGCCACTCCTGCTCCTGCTTCCTGTTGGTGCTGATGCCCACTAGATGTCAGAATTGAATAAATGCCACTCCTGCTCCTGCTTCCTGTTGGTGCTGATGCCCACTAGATGTCAGAATTGAATAAATGCAAAGGGAGGCAGCATCTCTGCCCCCCTCTCCCCCCGCTTCTGATTTCTGGCCAGCTGTGTGATAAAATGACCTTTATGCAAGGAGGGTTGGTGCATTTAAATGGTGAAGAGAACAGGGGATGCAGAGGAGAAATGACAAAAAATCCTGGCTAGATTGGAGTGCTTGTTCTGCCTGTGGCAGCCCAGAGCTTAAATTCTGCCCCAGGCATGAAGATAGTTTTGCTTTTTACTCTGTGGACAGTGGAATTTTCTTTCTCCTGCATGACAGACTTATCCTTTTTGATAAAATGGCTTTAAATCAGATTTCCCAGCCTTGGCTGTGCAGTGCCTTTGGTAGGTAAGAGGAAAGCTAGAGAAAGAAATGCTGCTTGTGGAGAGGGTTTGATTTCAGCGTTGAAGTCTTCTACTGTTCCCAGCTCCCATCTCAGCTCTTACTCAGGAGCTCAGCTCATTCACTGCAGCTGCTTAACTTTAGCAAGAGCATCCTAATGCCTCTTAAAGATTAGGTTAGCTAATTAATGCTTCCACAACCAGGTAGAAATCTCCTGCTCTCTGACATTCACAGATGCCACAGTGTTTGCTCCCTTCAAACCTCCTGCTGGCTTTAAAATCCTGAATTTCCCCCCTGTTTTTTCCCTGGGACAAATTGTTGCCTCTGTTTCATGGCACAGTGGAAGTTTTTTGAAGGAAATGGTGTGCCAACACTTGGCAACCATCATGTGATGGAGGCTTCTGAGAGGGTGGTGGTGACATGTCTGTGGGCACTGCTTGTCCCCTGTGACAAACAAGGAGTCTGGGCTGGAAAAACGGCATTAGACCTGGAAACGGGGGCTTAAAACATGGGCCTTAACTCTTCCAAGGAAATAAAGCTCCTGGACGTTATCTAGATGTTTGTTGGAGATTAAATCAGGGGAGATTAAACTGGGAGAAACATAGCCCAAGAAGGAAATTGGGATTTCAGGTTGGCCTCCAGAGACCAAACTGGTTTAGGGCATTATTTATTTGTGACTTGAAGGAGGAGACCACCAGGAAAACCACAAAGCCTGGCAGGATTCCAGGGATTACAGCCCTTGATTAATGAGAGTTTAAAAAGAAACTTATGTGCTTGTGGAATATTCTTTCTGAGCAGTGGGAAGGTGATGCTGCTGGCTGAGCCTCCTGATCTGGAATGAATAATGGAGAGGAAAAAAACCCCCAGCATCCCAAATGGAAGATTGTGGATTTAAAGAGTAAAGGAAACCCCATAATCACATCAAGAAGAGGTCCTGTGCAGAAAAATGGGAGCCAGAAACATTTCAGCCTAGCGCTACATGACATGTGTGAGTTACTGGGATAGACTTGTTGAAACTTTTAGATTGGAAAAGACATTTAAGATCAACTGTTCAACTGTCAGCCTAAAGATGGGGCAGCAAGCCCCAATCAGTTTTCTGTGCATGTTTCAAAGGTCTTTAATTTCCTTTTGTGTTTGAATACTGGAAGCAGTCTTGTTCAAGGGTGAGAAATCTCCATTAGGCAGGTTTACCAGTGGCTTTGGGAGCAGATAGATCAGATAAAAAAAGACAAAACAGAAAACCCTGGGGTAGTCTGTGATGCAGGGGTTGCTAAGGAATATTTTTATACCTTTCCTACTTAGCGGAATGGTCTTCCCGGGTGTTTTGAAGGGAAGAAGCTCTGACTACAGGTAATGCTAGAACTGATTGCAAGAGCCTTTGAGTTGTTTGGTTTT